AATATTCAATCAATTTGTTAGTTTAAATATCAAGTGGTTGTATATCAAGATGGATCCGACTTTGTTTTTTTATTTGAGCTCTAGCGAGAGTGATGGGGATGAAAAAATAGTGCGGAGGCAACTAAGAGATCGGAGCAACCCTTTGGCACTGCCGAATACAGCGTAGGTATATAAAAAATAAATCATGAAACCTCATTACTGAAGTTTTCTTTGCAGATTTTTAAAACGATTTCGTCTAACTAAAGAGGCTTTTGAATATGTGCTAAATAACATATGTCATCCCATGTGCTTAAAGAAATGGAAGCGATGTTGTGCCCGCAGTTTATACGGTTTACACCAGAGGATTCCCTTACGTGTAAAGAGTGGTTTGTGCAGGAATATAAAATTCCTGGAGATAAATATACACTTCACAGCTAAAATATTTATATTACTAAATATAAAGAATTTTTAGTTATTGGGTGCGTGGGGTACCATATCGGCTTACAAAAACCAACAGTGAACGAGCACATGTACTTCAATCGAAAAGGCTACCATAGTATCAACGCTATGATAGTAAGTTGCCATTATAATATATTTCTTGAATATATGTACATATATGTATATTTGTTAAATTTTGTATTGTCAGATATGTGATCACACTTACAAAATTTTGGCAATTAACTGTCAATACGGTGGTGCAGCCCACGACTCATTTGTTTGGAAACACTCGGACCAGAGAAGAGTTTTGGAAGAACGATTTCAGCACAACAGGAATGAAAATTCATGGCTTTTAGATACATATATGTTCATTTTATTCTTTTTACCACATTGATTTTATTTATATTTTAACAGGGGATTCTGGCTACCCATTGGAACCATGGTGCATAACTCCTTACAGAAACGCTTCGAATGATGCAAGTGAAGCTATGTTTAATGAAATTCATTCCAAGGCAAGATGTATCGTCGAACGAACTATCGGAATTTTAAAAGGCCGCTGCAGAATTTTAGGATATGGCAAGAGAGGAAGGTACCATCCGACAAAAGTGGCAAGGTCGTTAGCAAATCAGTCAGCATTACACAACGTCTGCATAAAATTTAAAATAAATTATGATCCTCAGAATTGCGATTCTGACCAAACAACGGATATCGACACCGGGGTAGCGAACCGCCTCACCGCAATCGGCCAAACAATAAGAGATCAAATAAAGCACTCTTTAATAAATTGAAGATGAAAATGTCTATGTCGTTACCCTTGTAAATATTTTTCCTTCTAAACCGAAATACAAAAATTTTGTTCATATAAATTCATTATTTTTATTTTAATTAGTCGTTTCATCACGTTTGTTGCTTTTATCTAAATTCTAAAATTTTACATAAATAATATTCAAAAATAGTGCTAAACTAAAAATTCATTAAGTGCTTAAACTAAAAATTCATTAAGTGCTTAAACTAAAAATTCATTGAGTTATTCATGAGAATATTTTATCAATTTATATTGCCTATTAATTATATACATACCTTACTCCACAACTTAGCATCTTTAACTGGCGGCCCCATGGCATTAAGCTGCTTCGTCAGTTCCTCCCATAATTTATTGGAATTGCGCAGAGTCTGGAAAGTTATTTTTTGCCAAGCATGGATGACTTGACATGAATTCCGCCATTACATCTTTTTGTGTAGGATTTAATTTATTATAATTTGTCCTAAAATAGATTTACTATTCAAAATTTTCTAAAATTATAAATTATTTACAATATACTCACATTTTTAAATAAATTCGTCTGTTACGATCGCTAGTTTGCGTTAGAATGACGGTTCGAACGAACGGATACGTTTATATACTCGCTCACGTACGTCATCATGCCAGTTTACGATTTAAGCGTTACGATCACGAATATAAACGTTACGATCACGTATGTCATAATACGTAATACAGACTTTTACGTGTTTTACGTGTCGAGTGATACGTTCACGGATGTAACGATTCGACCCCAGCTTAATTTAGGGAATTTACGACTAAGAAGACCTCAAACTATGAGCATGAGATGGGGGCATTGCATTTTCGAAATTTGTGTGGCTTTATCCCACAAAAGATACGGGCACTGATGCAGTGATCGATCGATTGACCAAGCAAGAAATCACGTTTGGCAATCCAAGAAGAATCATTACAGATAGACGTTCAGCATTTACATCGCACGCCTTTGAGGATTATTGCACAAATAATCATATTCAGCATTTACTCATTACTACTGGAGTACCAAGGGGAAACGGCCAAGTGGAGCGTATGCATAAGATAATAATTCCTATGCTATCAAAGCTTTCGAAAGGTAATCCAGATCAGTGGTATAAATTGATTGGCAAAGTTCAACAATACATAAATAACTCTCCTCCGAGAAGCACAAATATAGCACCATTAAAATTGTTAACCGGATGTGACACGAGACTTTCGGATCTACCACGATTAAATTAAATTATGGAAACGGCAGCTATTGAATCGTTCGAAATAGATCGAAACGAAGCACGACAAATAGCCAAGCAAAACATTTCGATTTCAAAATCGAAATTATGAAGTGAATGATCTAGTAGCTATAAAACGTACTCACTTTGGATCAAATCTGAAATTGAAAAGAAAATACCTTGGACCGTACAAAATAATCGAAAAGTTATCACACGGACGTTATAAAGTACAAAAACTTGATGAAGTTGAAGGACCTAATTTGACCTCAACCGTGATTGAGAACTCGGGTCGAATCCTGAGTCAGGAGGGCCGAATGTAGGACCGACAGACGAAAGCAAGACAACTAGAAGTGGACGTAACTTTTAACAACTATTAAATGAGACCTTGCCAACTTGACGAACAGAATGACGAAAAGACTAAGATGAGAAAAAAACGGAAAAATTAAACATCATTTCCCAATATTTATAATATTAAATATATCATAATAATATCATTATAGTGTTATCGACTCCTAGTTTTATTTAGAAGTATTGTTCTAAATTCAACCAAGGTAATAACTTTAGTGTAACATCTGTGAAATGAATTTTCACTCAATGAGATCACTTAATGTAGCTCCTAAATACATTACACCAAATGTATGCTACGATGCATATAGGAGCATTTTCCTTCAAAAATCGGACAAAAGTGAGAATTACAAATTCCAGCGATGCTGCTCAAAATTTAGTTTTTTAGTACCTAAGTAACCGTACTACAATAAAACCGATTAAATTATTGACTTTCAGCCTATTATATTGCCACACAAGTAGTAGGAACCTAGACTTCGTTCAGTACGCACGTCCTTATTCGCGATACTCTCTATTGTTCTCGATATTGCAAGTGGTTTTTTTTTTGTTGCGTGAAGTGAATTTTCGAAAATATTTTTTATGGATTAATATTAATAATAAAAATATTTATTTATTTAATGTATTATTTTGGGGTGGGGCACCGCCCACTTTTTCTCACTTATTCTTTTAATATATCTATGTATGTCACAGTGTGAATATGAACGACATGGGACTACAATGAAACTACTTTCCCTATAACAAAATTTAAAACTCCGTTTGATTCTTTCACTTTCCAGTACATAAATTAAGAAGTAATTAATAAAACTCAATAACATAATAATAATTCCCTTAAAGTATGTCACCTTTTGGCCAAAAATTGTCGAAATTCAACCAAAACTGTTGAAGCCCATAGGTACCAAATATGTGGACCCCTGTACCTATAGTTGACTTTTGATCGAAAATATCGGGCATTATGTGAGATATGCCATGGAAATTCAGACAGAATCCTTTCCTGAGAATGGTATTTCTGCATATCAAAAATGGGTTGAATCAGGCCAATGTTTCCCTGAGCATATTTTTATTCCATAATATAAAGATTTTCGAACTTATCCTACGTGCGATAAAAAGAATAAAAGGTATAAGTTAGATTGGTGATTTTGGAGAAAAGATATCATAATTGATCCTTAAATCATTTCCTTCTGTTACTGTTGAAATGTAATGTGCAAATGATAAATTTACTTGCGGAAAAATTGTAGGTCGATTCTAAAATCGCAAAGCAATCTCCTTACTATTAAAGAAAGCACGATAGGTCCATACTAAAGGCAGAAGCGGTTTTGGAGTGACTTAGTCAAATCCCTACGATATTTTTCTTTGGCGGATTGTGTTTAACTCATTTTGGGTTGGAGTTTCAAATTGCATTTTGAAAACCCTATAATATATGAATTTATAAGTCACTCCTATAAATAAACTATTACATTACAAAAAGGTATGAGGTCGCAATACCTGGGAAATGATGATATTTTTCTTGTACGTCTTTTCGAGTTTTGTATTTTTACAAACATCCCCAAAATCTCTAATTAAGCTTAAAAGACCAATTTTTCTTACTTTTACGCACTAATAGCCCGTATCTTAACTAAACATGAACCGATATTCTTTTGAATTATACCATATATAGATGTCTTATTAAAACGTAAGAGATTTATTTGTTTTTGCACAACATACTTAAATTAGGATACCCTTTTTTCCCTTTTTTGACTTTTGCGATATTTTCACACACTATTTTATAAAAAAACTAAAGGAGTTCTGATTTGATTCAAAGATTACGTATCCCATATTATACCGATATAGTGACCGATATATACGGTAAAAGGCTAACCGAAAGTTGGGGAATCCTTTATTAGGAATATAGTAGATTTTATATCTTTACATTACTACATGTTATTAACAGAAACAGATGTTCTCTGTTGATAAACAACATTTTTTGGTTTCTGTTCCGGTGTACAGAAAAGATGGTTTTCCAACTGTGGCCGTGTGAAAAACCTAGCATTTCCAAATTTATGCCTCACACTATGCGACTATCCTTGCGTCCTGTTGATTGTCATCTCAATTGCAATTTTCACTGGAAACCGAATACGTTTGAACTGAAGTCGGAAATCGTTAGAACTCAAAATAATTCGTAGAATCAAGCATTCTGCCCTCTTGTATTCGATAGGTGCGTCACAATCAGTCGGGTTCCAATACACAGTTTCGGCGCATGCAGATTGAGAAACATAATGATGCGGTGGGATACCAAGCCTCTCCAAAGAATTTAGAAATTTCACTGGATAATTGACGGCGTCATCTTCATTGACGCAATGAGCGCAAGTCTCCCGGAATTTGACTTTGAATCTTCCAGTTTAAGTTAACAACATCGGTATTTTTGGCAGCTAACATTGCGCATGCACTTAAGGAATCTTAGTTACGATAATTTTGCCAATGCCCGATCATTCGTGATGAGTACATTTTTCGCGAATTGATAAACGGCGGATGGTATTGATATCAAACCCTCGGAAGTATCAACCGGAATTGACCCATTTCCAATTTTTAGCGAAGACGATGTAAAATGTCTGCGGCAATGTAATTTTCGTTCGTATCCCATAATTGACGCGGAATTGAAGGCTGATATGTCGAAAGGATTATCGCGAAGAGTGTGCGAACCTCATTTGCATTCCAGTGATTAACATGTTCCAGCAATTGTATTTCCAAATGAAGTTGAACCGCGTACATTAATCAATAACAACCGAAGGTAGAAACAATCGCCGTTTTTCAGGTGGATTGTGTAAATTCGTCCTAGTGCATTAGTTGAGAGCACACGTGGATATCAATCTACTGGTTGGCCTTGCTTTCTGCGTAACTATTTCTTCGACGAAGCATTCCATATATAATATCAAGGCATTTCCGAATAGAGCAATGTTCTCGCAAGCAGATCACTGGCGAAAGTTGAGAAAAAACTCGTAAATGTTAATTTTGTATTCTCTGGGTTGAAATACAGTCTTTAGGCATTCTCCAAATCAACTGCGAGACGTACAATAGTCGGAAAAGGTTCATGAATTACAAAAGTAAATATCCTACGAAGGACTTTATTGCAGTTCACGTATCGACCGTATCGTTCAAAAGCAATAACCGCCATGTTGCTTCCTTTGGTGACGTACTTGCAAAGTATTTGTTCGATTACATTAAACTGCAATACTAAACATTGATATGAGTTTTGAATGTGAGTTAGACAGTAATGGTGAATATAGTACGATCCATGAGTTGTCAACTTCGATATTCACTCTGCTGAATTGAATGCTGAATGTTCTGCCGTCTCTGGTGAGAGACGCCGATAGAGGGGATATCCATAATTTCTAGTTTGTGTTTCCGAAATAAAAGCACGTGGATAGTGTTTCGTGCATTTAGTGTTAGA